TGAAAGCATGAATCCATCCTGCCTTGTATCAACGGTTCAGGCTGGTGGTCGTGTGATGGTGTGGGGGATATTTTCTTGGCACACTGAGCCAATCCCTTCATGACCAGTGTACTCATCTTCTGATGGCTGCTTTTAGCAGGATAACGCACCATGTCATAAAGCGTGAATCAACTCAGACTGGTTTCTTGAGCATGACAATGAGTTCACTGTACTCAAATGGCCTCCACAGTCACCAGATCTCAATTCAATAGCGCACCTTTGGGATGTGGTGGAACGGGAGATTCGCATCATAAATGAGCAGCCGACAAATCTGCAGCAACTGTGTGATGCTATCAATATGGAGCAAAATCTCTGAGGAATATTTCCAGCACCTTTTTGAATCTATGCCATGAAGGATTAAGGCAGTTCTGAAGAAGGGTCAAACCCAGTACGAGTAAGGTGTACCTAATAAAGTGGCCAGTGAATATATGTGATTGTATTTATATATAATATAAGGCACAATCCCAATACTAATTTATACGCCTAGCCCTTTACCAAACCCTTCACATTTTAATAAAAAAATATATAAAAATTATAAGCACTTGAAATGGTTTGTAAATGGTGAGCAAATTTTGCAGTTTTGGGTGAGCATGCAAACAACCCTCTGTTCAATGTCTGACAGGAGGCATATAATAAGCATATTAAAGAAGAGCAAATGCTCCAAAAAAAATTTGTCAAATGTAAACATAATAGCACTCATACGTCACATACTTGATGTTTAAGTTGTGAAAATGAAACATTCTGATGGCCACTTCTCATAACATTTACATGATTCACTAAGAAGTTTTATTAAATATTTGTGTTCATGCTACAATCTTGTCCCATAATTTCTATACTTATAGCTTCTAACACTTTTGGTCTTGTAGTGTGAAAGGAGAGCTTTCTCAATCAAAGAGTAAACGCCAGTGTGGAAGCGGAAGGTGTTTTACTTTTAAAACACAGCATTAAACAAAGACGCGCTGGCATAAACGTGCAGCATGACCCAGTAATGATCCTGCTAATGGCTCACACTGTTACTGACGCAGATATCAAAACGCATTGGTTCCGATTTCTTAAGATAAAAGCACGTCCAAAGCGCACCGTCTACTAAATGATGGCTCTTTGGAAGGATTTTGCGTGTGTGTGTGTGTGATTTACGCTAAAGGCTTTTGGAGATTGTTAGAGGTCTGGAAAGTAAAGGCAGTTAAAGATTACGGTTTGTGATGTTTCCAACTACTGCTTTGATGTTTGTTGACAAAATTGAACTGTTTTCTTGCTTTCCTGACAGAAAATCATTCCAGAATATCTGTTGAAACCTTTCACCACAGAAAACGGATTAAAGAAATAAAAAGCAAACTAACCTTTTGTAAAAATTATATTGCTGAATGTCACAGTGAATTCATTTATTAAAAGAAAGTCCATTTATTTAAACATTAGTAATACTTTTAGTATCTGCAGGCAATTTATTCCATAAAAAAATCCCAAGAATATTTAAAATATATAATCTAAAATACCTCCTAATATAAATAGAATTTCATAAAATCAATAACTTAAAAAGATTATGTAAAAATAAAATACAACGTGCCCCCACTGCCCTCTGTTGTGCCAAGCAATCTCGTTGTCTTAATTTTTGACCGTCCTTCCCTTGCTCATCAATCAATTTAATTGAAAAAGGAAGAAAATAATGTTTATATCTATTGTTCTTGCATAACGGGACCCTGTATCTTCTGCCAGAATTCATCAGCCCGGACAGCACGTGTGAAGAATCAGATAAAAAGTGTCTTAATTCCCATCATTTTTTTCCTGTCACTCTCATCAGGTTATACACTTGGGTTTTCATTTTTACTGTCAGATTCCCAAATCAAACAATAATCCCAGATCTTAAAATAGACTCTGTTGCTTTATAAAAAGTTATTATTCTGCTACTCACTCCAAATGATCTGAGTCTACATAAAAAGTGTAAATCGCTGAAGAATTTGTGCACAAAGACTTGACACCTTGAGAGTGCCAATTATGCTCACAATCAATATTCACCCCTAAATAATAATATGAATCAACCTGCTTAATGTCTTTATCATAAACCACAACAGAGCTTCTATCGCTCACTGCCCTGGGGTCTATGATGACCTCCTCCATTTTCTTAACATTAATTTTGTGACTACTTTAATTTTAATACATCAGTTTATTTAAAAAAAAAAAAAAGCTAAATTAATTAAACTGAAAACTCGCTTTACATTAAAAAAAAAAACTAACTCAAATATTACTTATTTTTAAAATGTATTGCATTGTTACATAAAAAAGTAACATTATTACATAACGCATGTTACTTGTAATGTGTTACCCCCAACACTAGTTATAAATATATGTTTTTATTTTAACAAAGTAATTAAATTGCAAAAATTAAAAGTGGTCAAAATTACCACCTTAGTAGTTTTAGTGTTAAGGAATGAGGTGAATGGGTAAGTCGATATCAAGCTGATATAAACGACACACTACAATAAGTCAACCAGCTTTTCTCACAGATATGCAGTAATGTACACAGCGTCCTCAAGTGGTTTTACGAGAAATGGCACATATAAGAAAACGAATCCCAGAAACACATTTAAGATTGTCAAAAATTCTAAACAGCGCCCTCTAGTGGATTTGTGAAAATAAAAACTGCAAGAAGATGTAGTCCAGCATACATAACTCTCAGTTTACAAAAATGTAGCTCTGGGCACATATGTCCAATGAGCCTGGGCTGCAATACAAAAATATGCACAGTAAACATACGAATGATTAGCCCCTGTAAATTATTTGCCCCCCTGTATATCTTTTTCCCAAATTCTGTTTAACAGAAATATTTTCTTAACACATTTCTAATCATAATAGTTTTAGTAACTCATTTCTAATAACTGATTTATTTTATCTTTGCCATGATGACAATAAATAATATTTTACTTGATATTTTTCAAGATACTAGCAGTGTTTACTAGATTACATGGACATCAGAAATCTAATAATTTGTCAACTTAATCTGTAGTTTGGCACTTTCACTTTCATTCAGGAACATTTCAAGCATGCCCCCTGTGACAAACGAGATATTGGAAGCAGGAACTGCTGGAAGAGTGTTGTTTTAACAGTATGTATGTTACCGCACGTCAAATAAGACAAAAAAAAAAAAAACTCCACATTTTTTGGTAACTTAGATGCACTCGATAGGTAGCATCAGAAAGCCGTATGTGTATAGACTATCCCGTCACAAAATGCAGTGAAAATCCTACACTACGATAATAGTTTGATGAAGGTGTTTATACATTTACATTCAAGCAGCATTTACAGCATATCTTTCAGTCTATAATATTGTAGTGATGTTAACATACCGTAAACTTAGTAACTAAATAATTTTGACTAAGATCTGTCTTTAAAAACTGAAAGAGTACTGCTGATTTTACGTAATAGCTTTGCCATCTAAAGAAACAAAACCACTGATCACACACTTACACCAAATCTGTAGAGACCGGACAATCAACAACAACTGGAGCCGCGTCTTTATTAAAAGGAGACGAGCAGCAAATCCGGATTTCATCATTTACAGATGCGTAAAGCTCTTGGGAAAAAAATGTTTCTTACAAGCATATTTCTGTTGCATGTCACATGCACTGTAATCCAGTCCAGCTGTGCTCTCATAGCGGAGAAATGAAAACAAAGCCTATGTTGCAGCAGATTTATAAACGCAACACTGACGACCCGTATCTCCAAACAATTCCTCTTTATCCACTTGTTTTGGCAACACAACTTGGCGTCTTTCTGCCGTCTGAACACTGTAACAGGTAAAAAAAAAATAGTCTTCGAAGCTATCATGCATATTAATGAAGTTGCACCGCATACACAATAGAGTGCGCTGATAGGTTTGAACCAAGTCTTTCTCATGAATTAATGCTGAAAGCTCAAAAGACGTTGCGCTGTACTTGCCAGTACAGCCAGTCTACACGCTGAAATTCACGCAAGGATCTAATCACAGTGACGCAGCTTCAAAAATTCGTTTCAAACTGGAAGAACGAATTTGCTTGAAATAACCTAAAAACAACCAATTTTCACTTTGTGAAGTTTATTCAAAAAACTAATTTCGAGAGGATCACGTGCTTGCGATTTATCATGGCCGGTCCCGTATTTGCTAATCACTATCTTTCAATCATATGAGCCCTAAGCTACTATAAATAGCCACAGTTTTCAGCTCATTTTATCTTCGTTTGAAAGAAACCCCCCCCCCCTCCCCTATTCTCCTTCTTTACCTCTGAGTTTCTGTGAGGAGTTTGTATGTTCTCCCCGTGTCCGCATGGGTTTTCCCCAGCTTCTCCGGTTTCCTTCCACCATCCAAAGACATTCAACACTTATAACAATCAAGCATTTGTCTAACCCCTCTGTTCCCTTAGCTACCGCAGTCGGGGTGTTCTGAGATCCATCGAGCTCAGGCTCCCCTCTCGCTCTGCCAATGGGAGGAAGCCCCGGGCTCGAGGATCCCTTGAGCTCGGGGCTCTCTCCTGGGACTCTCTCACCGGACAGCATGCCAAACAAGCTTTTATAAATCATCAGCTAAGTGCGAACTCTTGAGTTGTGAAATATGTGTGTCCTAATAGCGTTTTTAGCAGCGCGGGACACATATATGACTGTCAACATCTCAAATTGTGTGTTTTGGTGTTTCATGACCCTTTAAAGTGACATTTAACTAGGTTAATTAGGTAGGTCATTGTATAACAATGGTTTGTTCTGTAGACAATCAAAACAAATATTGCTTAAAGGGACTAATAATATGGTTTTTTAAAAAATGAAGAACTGCTTTTATTCTAGCCAAAATAAATAAGACTCTCCGGAAGAAAAAATATTATAGGAAATACTGTGATAAATTCCTTGCTCTGGTAACCATCCTTTGTAAACTCTGTAAATGCAAGCTTTTATTTTAGATGTGTGTGGTAATCTTTTGACAGCACTAATAATAATAATCTTATGTCTCATCGTGCAGGTACTACGCCACAGTGCACCCTCTGAAGAAGCGCATCTCGATGGCGGCCTGTGCGTATGTGCTGTCCGGCATCTGGCTGCTGTCCTGTGTGCTGGTGGCTCCGGCGGTGGCCCACACCTACCATGTGGAGTTCAAAGATGAGGGTTTGACCATCTGCGAGGAGTTCTGGCTTGGTCAGGAGACCCAGCGGCTGGTGTACGCTTACAGCACGCTATTGCTGACCTACATCCTCCCTTTATCCGCTGTCTGCGTCTCGTATTTGTGCATCTCTGTTAAACTACGCAACTGTGTTGCTCCGGGACATCGCACACGCGATCAGGCCGAAGCACAGCGGATCAGGAAGAGGAAGATCTTCAGGCTGGTGTCCCTGGTGGTGGCGGCGTTCGCTGTTTGCTGGCTGCCCATCCATGTTTTTAATGTTCTGCGCGACATCGATATCCGCCTGATCAACAAGCGGCACTTTCTGCTGATCCAGCTGTTGTGTCATCTGTGCGCTATGAGCTCGTCCTGCTGCAACCCGTTTCTGTACGCATGGCTTCATGACCGCTTTCGTGCAGAGCTGCGAAAGATGTTCACCTGCCACCGGCGCATCGGGATACCTGCAAACCACTGCGCCACGGCCAGCGTCGTACTGTGAACACACTAAGGGCTTCGAAAATGAGCTGAAAGCATGTGGAGCCTAATAAGAGTGAGTGGTGGGAGTGTTGGGGATGTCTAGGTGTCGGGCCGAGCTGTCTGAATAACACAGCTAAGTAACTTTACTATGCACTGATTTGGTCAGCTGCTGCGATCGGATACTATACCAGATTTGGCGATCCTAGGGTGTTATATACTGTACCACAAAGCTGAGGACCAGAGTAAAGGCTGATTTATACTTCTGCGTCAAACGCCGGCGTATGCTACGGAGCTGACGCAAAGCCCTTCGCTGTGGCCGTCGTCGCTGACGTGCACCTCTCAAAAATTGTAACTACACGTCGCAACGACGCGTAGCGCAAGCTCTGTGATCGGTCGCCTTGGTAGCGCTGACGAGTGTGGGCGGGACCGAGAGCTGCACGAATGGCGCGAGCTGGACACGAGCCCAATGGAGCGATTGTTTACAAGTGTGGAGTCCCGTGAAGGAGCTCCGGATGGAAAGTTTTGTTTTGTGTTTACCTCATAGTTAAAGTTGTTGCACGTCCGCCGGTTCCTGCCTCAACATGAGCGAGTTTGAGCCCCTTGTACATCCAGGAAGTGTTCAGGAAAAGCAAAACAGCAGTGAGGAAACTCGACACAGAGGAACATTTACACCTCACTGCCAACTAGCATTTCGGAAGTGTTAATGCAGACCAACAGAGACAGCGCGCAGAAGTATAAACGCACAGCTACGCGCGTTGCATGCACCGTGGGTCATACCGGTCACTTGACGCAGAAATATAAACCAGGCTTAAAGGGGTAGAGGTTGGGGGGCTAAATTATGGGAGATTTCCGGGAGAAATAACAAAACTGGAGGGTGGCGGGAGATGGGTCTGAAATATGGGAGACTCCTAAGAAAAACTGGAGTGTTAGCAGGTATGGCCATTAAATCTTTGGTCTTATGAGCTGATACACTGTATATTGGAGAATGACGTTTGTAACATGATTATGAACAAAATCAACCAATATGACAGTTTTGCTACCAACGTACACCATAGCAAACCCAGTATTGACGTAAAGGCCTGATACATATCAGAAAATGAACTGGTGTGATGGCATTTCAAAGCAAAGCCTTTGAGCTCCCATTTGTCAATGATGTCATATGTGGGCGTGGCTCTTTTTTAAACATAAGTCATCTGTGGTTTGTTTCTTGTTCAGTTTGTCAAGATTAAGTGAAAATGTCCACACTGGAGAGATGCTCCACAGTAGAAACTCAAGTTATAATAATAACTAAAAGTAATACTACACTGTAAAAATGTCCATAAATTAGCAGGTTTTCCATATTTTGTAATTTATGTTTTTATTTCTCCCAATTTTTTATGCTTTTAAATTGCATTATGGGATCGTGATCTTTCCTCCAACTTTTAACCTTAAAGAGTTGGAAACGGTGACTTTTATGAGCATTTTTAATAAAGTAATATTTTGTCTGTGTTGTTGTAAATTACGCTACAAAAACCCTGTAATAAACCGCCTGTTATTTTCTGACTTATTTAATTATATATTAGTTCTTAAACATATTATTTCAAACCACTAAAATGTCAATAAAAATCACTGTGTTAAACTGTAGAGTTTTCAGCATCAAAAGTCAGAGCAGAACTCAACATCCCATAATGCAATGCACAGCTGTAATTAAATGGAAAATACAGAAACTTTTACAGTGTAACGCTGTATTTCATGTAAATCTGCTTTCATTAAAGCAATCTATTGTATAAAGTGCTATGTAAATAAATGTGTCGTGACTTTATTGGTGTGGCAAACATCAACAGGGGTATGATAAAATGCTTTCTGAACTGCTGTTTTCTCACTAGTCTCTTCTTGTGTTGACGTTGTTATTGAGTGAAAAGAGCACAGCACATTTTTCACATATCTAACTTTGTATGGATGTTTGTCACTGCAAAAGCATTTCAAGCTCAATGGCAAATCACCATTTTCAAACTTAATTCAGACTCAATTTCACACTGTTGCCATTTCGTGTTTGTGAGAACCCAATCAACTCTTCAACTCTTGTGCTTTTGCTATGAAAATAAACAAAAATCTAATTATTTTTTTCATGGTTGGACTGTTTTAAGGACTGCTCAAGGTTTTTTTTTTTTTTTACAAAGGTACCAATCGATACTGAAACTTTAAAAACGTCCATTTCCCACTAACATTTGAGCACAATCATACAGAAATGAGTATGACTGGCCGTGAAGGTCATCAGTTCACCGAACTCACTGCTATTTACTGAGTGTAAACACTAGGGATCACGTGTGCAGAGTTAATGAAGTTTGTCCTGCGCGCTTGTGTTTTTTTTAGTTACTTTTTTGGTTTGGTACGTTAATCTTATCATTACTATTATTCAAAAGAAGGTAATGATTCGCACTCAATTGCTTCGTACTGTTTTTATTTTTACTTTTTCTTACATTTTACGGGTGATAACAGACAAACAGACGTTTCGGCACAAAGCCTTCCTCAGTGTGTGACACAATTCTCTAACTCCACCCTTTTATTCCATAGTCAATCACAATGTGCAATTAGTTAAACCGTCACTCTTATTTCATTATCCATTAATCACACAATAACTTATAATCTTCACAGCAATGACAATAAACAATCTTCCCATTTCCGACCTCACTCTACAGAGATAAAGTGTATCAACTATTATCATTAATCAGGTGTATATCAATACAATAAAATTCTAACAGTTGACATTAAAAGTTTTCTACATTTGACAATTACCCAAAGATTAAAAATCACAAGTCTTACCTTCACCTCTACCCATATAATAAATTTTACAGGAGACATTTACCCTCATATTCAAAAACAATTTGCAAGACATACGAAAAAACCTACATTCAAAAACCATTACTATATAGGAAAACAGCATATCAATTAAACACTAGGGATGCCACGGTTCTCAATATAATATTGAACCTTTCGGTACGACATCCACGGTTCAATACGCGCTCGTGAATTGCGGTTTTCTCAGTTCTGCTTTTAAATAATTTATGTGGGTTTTATATCTCCCCGAATTGACAGTGTGTGCCTCTAAATCTATGAGCTGAGATGAGGAAACTCCTCCCCGCAAGTAAATATCCAATCACTATGCTCAATATCACTGTCTGAACGCAGGATAGCAGAGAAGGTAATAAAGTCCTCCAAATAGCAACATTCCCTCGCTAAATCTTTCAAGCAAACATACCCAACTGGTTCCGAGAGACACATAAAAATAACAAAGGCAGTGCGGGAGTTCATTGCTAAAGATTTGCTGCCGCTTCTGTGATTGAAGATGTGGGCTTATATGTATTTTTATAAAAGCACTCGATCCGGACCTGGTTCAGACACACTTTACTTTGGGAGAACGCTTAATACTTTATCACCTGTGACTCATTTGTATTCTGACCACTTGTGCTTGGTTGTACACTATATCAAATAAGTGTTTAGACTTGTAAAAACACTACTGTAACACATTGAGCCACTAAACATTGTTCTTATGACGTTTTCAACAGGAGGAAAACGCTGATTACTTCCAAACACTTCAGATGTAGTCTGTGTTAGTAAATGCAGGACTATTGATGACATCCAGTATAACACTGTATGACAACGCTTCAGATGACTGTTCTAGAGCCTACAGCTAATCAGTCTGACAGATTCTGGAGTGCATTACAGCTCTAAATATAAATATAAATGATAAATGATCTTAAATACAACAAATACATGTATAGAGATGGTATATAAGTATTTAACTTTACTCACATGGGAAACGGAGGCCACGTGAATGGTTTGGGAGCACAATTAAGTGCACTCAGCATGCCATGCCATCTAATAATTGTAGGAAACAAGTCCAAAAGGCAGTTGACTCTGTAAAGCCACATAAAACAACACAGAAATACGATAAATATGCCGAGTTCAGTGACTAATCTGCAGGATTCAGCTGAGGTGACAAGACGGCGACCAACGAGACCTAGCTGTCAATCAAGTGACCACGCCCTTAATTATGCAAACTTAATATAACTTAATATAAAGGAAACGGATGAGTTACATTTATAACTATGACATTTAATTGAATATAGTTGTTATTAACTGCAGTGCTGTCTCCATTATGCTTGCCTTGTTTACTGGTGGTTGCTAGGTTACCAATACTACTGTCAGTGCCCTCTAAAAACGTAATGGAAGTGCATCTAATCAAAAGCCCCTTTCACACAGTGATACCGGTAAATATGTGGAAAATAACCAGAACGACTTTACCGGTAAATTCAAAAAAGCACTGTTCACACAGCCACGAATGTTGCAGATCTTTTTCTGGAAAAGTCCATTGACACGACTATTCCAAAATACTGGTAAATTCTGACATCATTAACCAAGAATGACCTCTAAATGGCTCCGCTTGTATTTGCAAACATAGAAGTGGTCGAGCTTTGTTGATGGCTTCACTTTTATTTAAAGGGCCATGAAACCCCCTCGTTTCAGCAGGGTGTTTTTACACCTCTACTTTGGAAAAAAGCCAGAAAAGTGGGTGTGTCCAGCTCTGTTTAGGGGGGAGTGTCGGAGGAAGAAAAGAGGCTTGGTGTGGGAGTGTCTATTTGGGCACGCGACTGTGTTTGCATGGGCATCTGTTGTGGAATTATTTGCCAAATTAATAATTGGTGGACTTTAACTGTCTTTCATTCAAAGAATTCATTCATGTCCCTCGCGACAAACTAAATAATTGATTCGAGGATCTGCTCTAAGCGTGTATTTTTCATGCAATGTTTGAAACCACACAGAGAATGAGAGAAAAAAAACTCAGCATTTCCCAGAAACTTAGATGCACACGGCAGGTAGTGTCAGAAAGCCGTGTGTGTTATTCCAATCACAAAATGCGGTAAAAATCCTACACGAGGTTAAAGTTTGGTTGTGGTGCTAACGTGTTTACACTCGGTGCAATAGTTAACTTAGTTCGATACGAACAAACTGAATAAACAAAGAGCGCTGATCGCTCACTTACCAAATCTGGAGAGACAGGACAATCACCAGCAACTAGAGCCGCGTCTTTATTAAGAGGAGACTACAAGCGAATCCGGATCTCAGCATTTGCAGATGAGAACAGCTCTCAGGTAAACAATAATCCTCCTTAGACATGTAAGTTATTGTTGTCGCGCGTCGCGTACACTGTTAATCCACACATGACTCCAGCTGAGCTCTCACAGAGAGAAAATGAAAACAAAACTTCACTGCAGCAAACTATAAAAGCAACACTTCACGCTTGTT